GTGTCTTGCTGTCATCCAGACACAGGCATACTAATATGCACCCCTGAACAGTTCTGGAAAGAAACTCTTTCCAAGTCTGTTGCCAGCTCTAAACTGTGAATTTACAGTTTGTCTTACAGCTGAGGGGTGCTTGGCACAGCACACACCCCACCCCCCTTCTGCCAAACTGGTGCTCAAGACCCAAGTACTGGCCCTAACCTCAGTGAGAAGACAGGCTGTGGCGTGTCAGAACCTGGGACTCAGGAACTTGGAGGCACCCCGCCTCCCATCTTGTGTCTCTGCTAATGACCTGTGTCTGAGGACCCTTCCAGAAAGTTATTTCAAGGACTGTCACTGACCTCCCTCAGTCCTTGTGTGACATGCTCTTATGTCTGTAGACCCTACCCTCTCCCGTCCACCTTGGCAGGGCTGCTTGAGCCCGGCAATACTTTGCACTCAAAACACACTCATCCTAAGAACTCATGCTGTGGGCAGCTGTGGGTCTCCCCATTAAGCTTCCCCATAGTGCTGTTGTAACCAAAGGTAAAATGAGCAACATTGGGGGACCTTTAACAATATCCCAGGGGGCTCTTCTATAAATCAGGAACATGTTCTGTCTTGAGCCTGCACATTCCAAGTGCTTAGTTTTGTGTGTGTGTGTGTGTGTGTGTGTGTGTGTGTGTGTGTGTGTGGGGGGGGGGGGGGCGGGGGGGGGGTGGGGTATGTATGTGTGGAGGAAGATGGGGGGGGGCATGGAGTGTCCTGACATTCCCTACCTTATTTGATACAGGCTCTCCCCTGCCCCTCTGTGCTGGGATTGCAGGCATGTGCATGGCCACATTCAGCTCTTTGAGGATCTGAACTCAAGTCTGCTTGTGTAGTAAACTTGCTCTTACCCACTGAGCCATCTGGTTGTCTACACCTGTAATCCCAGCTCTGAGGTGAGGCAGGGAGACCCCAAGTTCAGGGCTGCTGGCCCTACTGTGTGAGCTCACCGCCAGCCATGATTCTTACTGAGTCCCTACCTGAAAATGAGAAAGGGCTGAGGGTTTAGCGCAGCTAAGGTGCTTCCTGGCATGAGGCTCTAGCCTCAACCACTAGTAACACACACACTTCCCTTGGCCTGTTATTGGGGGTATGGGCCACATGTCTTGAGGACATACAGGTAGCCCATTGGTAAAGCCTCCCATGAGAAACTAGCCTCAGCCAGCAGCCTGTGAGCCTTGTTGGGAGTGGATCTGCCAGTCCCCATCAGGCTCCAGATGGCCCTGCCAGCCCCTGCAGGTGACAAAGCTGAGATGTGAGGTGAGGGCATGCAGTCATAGGCTCTGCCCAGAATACACTAGAAGTCCCACCTCCCATACACAGTGCCCCATAGACCCAACTGCCTCCTGCCCCAGCCTCACTGGTCCCTTTTTGTGCAGCCTCTTGAGAGGATGTGACAGAAGTCCATGGTTCTGCTTGTATTTTGCAGCCAATGGGGAGTTGGGATCTCAGGTCACTCCCTGGTCCTAGGATGCCTCACTGGGGTATAGACAGGCAGTGGCAGCAGGGGGCGGAGGTGGGGAGGCAAAGGACCCTCCTCATTCCTGATCACAGCCCAGTTGGGCCTCCTGCTGCCTGAAGCTTGTCATTTACAGTCTTATATTTTTCATGTGTAAACTGCCACTTCTGCCACAAAGAACGTTGGGAGTTCAATTCCCTCAGATCCGTAGAACCCCTTGCATCCCATCCCAGGGCGAACTAGCGAACTCGGGTCCTAAAACACTGTGGGCACTCCTTGCTTCCATTTCTCTCCTTCCAACAAGCCAGTTCAGGCTGTTGGACTTACACTGAACTGCCCCGTGGGCCTCCGTAACATCTTTCTGCTTCTGATATGGAGGTTCCACTGAGGCCCCTTGAGTCCCAGGAAGACATGGTGCACTGCTGCAGCCTCTATGGCTGGTGACTGGGCCTGGAGGATGCTGGGAAAGAACATCCACCCCCAGCTTCCCACTCCCGCATCCTAGGCACCTGGCCTCTAGGACAGTTTGGGCAGAGCCCCAAGGCCACACCCTCCAAATTACCCTCTAAAGGTGGTATGTTCCCACAGCAGAGACCATGACAGACTCCCATTGTACCGGATGAGCACCAGGCCCTCCATGGCAGCATCGTGGGCTATATCTGCCAGGGAGTTCTATCCAGAGCTTCATAATCGACACCGGAGTGTCACTGTAGGCCTGGACAAAAGACTACAAACAGCACACACACAGGAAGAAACAGAGTATCAAACCTGCTGGGGGCACAACCTGCCCCTCTAAGAACTGTGGGACCTACGTTCCCAGGATTGATTCACCATTGTTCCAACTGGGGAAAGACTGGACCCCGTGGAAATCACTGGAGTGCATCCATTGACATCACTTCCACATGACACAGACGTGGCAGGTGGAGTCCAGTTGCTGTGCTGGAGCTGCCCACTCTGGTGGTCACTGCTGTGTTTAGTCCCTGGGTGGCCTCTTTTAGGTGGCTCAGTCAGGCTTCTCACCCCTAACAGTCCCCACTCTGAGGCATGCATGCTCCTGGCCCATATGTGTCCCCGTCCCTGACTCTGTGACTGTTACATACGGTAACAGTCCCATGTAGCCCCATAGTGTCCAGGCAGGCCCTGAGTGCCATCCTTGGTGCTTCTGAGACAAGGCTGAGGGAGATGAGTCACCGGGAGAGGGGCTGTATGAACAGGGAGGCTGACGGGGAAGCCAGTGGTTGCTGGGTGCCAGAAAGCCATGAGTGGTCCTGCGAGAGAGCCTGAGCAGGGGCCTGGATGGACTCCTGCCCTCCAGAGCTGCAAAGGGGAATTATGGACATTTAAGCTGATAAGTTGACAGTCATTTGTGACAGCCACTGCAGGATTATACCACTTCCATGTGTCTGCAAACTGAACTCTTGAGTGTGTGGTGGGGCTAGGTGGCTTGTGGGAGAGGCAGGTGTGGTGAGGTCACTGAAGTTACCAGCTTCTCCCAGGAGCCTCTGAGCATGAGAGCATGCCTGTCCTTGGCTGGAAGGTCACCACATCCAAGCGGGTAGGAAACAGGGAGAGTGGTGGTGGTGGTGGTGGCTTCTAGAAGGCTGTGGCTGTCCCTGGGGAGGGCTTGCAGCCTGTAGCCCAGAAAGGGTGGACAGTCAGCAGATGGACCTGGCAGTAGACAGGGAGTGAGTCTACTTGATGGATGAGCAGTATTCACCATCTTGAGATGTAAATAGCAGTGCAGGGAAGTCACACACTGGGGTCTTCAGTCTGCATCTACCCTCCGCCCAGTACACACACTTGCTCCCGGCCCTCAGATGCTGGCTTCTGAGAGGAGGAGAGTGGCAGGCGGAGTGGCACCTGCCACCAGCCCTCTCTGTGAGGGGAAAACCACCTGTGTTCTTCCTTGGTGTCTCCGAATGCTGGCAGGAGCCCAGAGCCTGCTTCAGAATTTCCGAGTGGCAGTCCCTTTCTGTCCCCCTTCCCACAGCCAGGTCCAACATGCCATGGCAATGGCTCGGGGCTCTGGGCAGAGGCCTGCAGAGGCTGCTGGCAACACCGCATCCACCTCCCTCCCCAGCTGCCAAACTGATGCCAGCTTCAGCATCTGGGCTCCCATTACAGCACCTGTTACTAGGGACAGTGAGCAGCTGCTGTGTCATGTGCCCCCACCCCACCCCACCTACCCCTGCTCAACTTTCTCAGTGTCTGTGTCCTCTTGTTAAAGCCCAGAGGATGCTGGTTCTCCTAGGGCCTCAGGAAAAGGCATTCTGGGAGAGTCCAGGACATCAGGTGTTTGGGGCCTCAGCACCAAGGCAGGGCCCGGGTGCATGTCCACACCTGACGAGATCTGCAGTTCATGGGTTCCAGCAGGACACCCAGATCTACACACTAGAGTCCCTGTGGTGTAGCTGTCCTCACACCCTAAGTTGCCTCTGGATGACAGTGTCACTGGGAACTGAGCAAGTCTTTGCTGAAGAGAAGTGACAAAGGGTGGGTGCTCCCAGTACATCTGCTGGAGTGGAACCTGGGGCCCCACTCATGCTAGCTTCTACTACTGAGCTCCGTCCCTTTTTTTTAAAATAATGTGTTTGCACTCTGGTGGTGTGACTCAGTGACAGAACATCTGCTTAGAAGGCCCCAGTGAGGGGCCAAGGGTGTGGCTCAGTGACAGAGCACCTGCCTAGAATCCACTAATAGGGAGGGGACAGGAGGTGTCTGAGTGGTAGAGTGACTGCCTAGAATTTTATCAAGGGCATGAAACTCAACAATAGCATTTGCCCAGGGTGCAGGAGCACTAGGTTCCATCCTCAACAGTGTAATGAGCCAACCAAAACCCACCAACACTCTCACCTTGAACTCAGCGTTGACTCATGTGGGAAGTGGGGCTAGGGAGGAAGACAGAAGGGAGGTGACCAGAAGTCACCTAGGAAGGTGACGGGAAGCAATCAGTCCAGTATATGCACCGCCTGCCACCTAGCACTGCAATCTGCTTGGATGTGTCCATGGCCATCTGGCAGCAGCTCTAACGTGCGTGGCCTCATTCTGTCCTGTTCCCCATGTCTACAGCTGGTTAGCAGCAGTTGGCTAGGGAGGTAAATGTCGGGGAAGGCTGCTGGCAGTGATGCCTGTAGTGCTGTGGGGATCCTTAGATAAGCACTGGCCGCTAGCCTATATGCATTAATGTGCATGTGCCCGCCGGCATGGGCCCTCCCGTCCGACATCACAATTCCTGATGGAAAAGTCAGGTTAAGCTTAGAAGCAAGCATGAGACCCATCCCGTGGATGAGACTGAGTGGGTTGGGACTTGTTGGTGGCATAGGACAGAAAGCACAACTCACACTTGGCTCAAGAATCAGTGCCATTTTCTTTGCTCATGAAACCTAACAATCTACAGGCAGGTTTGGCTCTAGGCAAGGCTGCATCAGGGTACAGACAGACTCCACAAGTGGGGCCGGATAGTCCCCTGTGGTTCATGGGCTTTCTTAGCTGTCTCTTTCTCTTTCTCAGTAGTCCCAGAATAAGAACTTGGGTCATGGGCCTAAACATGAACCAACAGGATAGGACTTCAGGAGGCTGTGGGTCAGGGGTCTAGCCTTCAAGGTGAGATTTGCCAGACCCAAAACTCATGGGCTGAGTGTGGGGTGTTACAGTTTAGTGCGGTATTCAGTGGTAGGGTGTTTGTAAGTTCAAGACCTTGGTTCCTTCCCCAGCACAACAAACAAACAAAATCCAGTGCACAGAATTCTGTTGCCAAGAATTGCAAACTGGTTGCTCTAGAGACCAGTATCACACAGAACCTACTACCCTCCTGCTGACTGTTTCTAATTCCTTGCTGTCTTTTCTATGCAGAGCAGTGACCCCCAACTCCAGGTATTCAAACCACAACAGTAATGAGTTCTAAACTATAGATGGGTCTGCATTCCACCCCAGAACAGACAAGGTAGCCATTGTGGGGTGGGGTGGGGAGCACTGAAGGCCAGCCTCTGTTGCATGCAGTTAAGCGCCCAATTGTCACCAAAGATGACCCATGCAACCATGGAGAGGTGATGGACAGGATAGGGGTTTAGGGTCTAAGCACCTGATAGTGACCTTACACTGATCAAGTAACTGGTGTGGTCTTGGCTGGAGAGGCATGAAGAGCTGTAAAGAGGGGAAAGTGGGCATTCCTCCTGTAGTAGGCCCTGACTTGGTCCTCTTTCCATCTCCAGAGGCCCTAGGACACACAGAAATGACCCTCAGCAACAGCTTAGTTGGTGGTGCATGGAGAAGAGGGTGAAGAAACATCTTGGCCCTGGGAGAGCATCACTCTTCTGTTAGCTGACACCAGGCATGTATGCCAACACCCCACAGTCAGGCTTCAACCACTGTGCCCTCTTAGGAGGGGAAAAGGGCCACCCTCCTCTGCCCCTGCCTCTCGGGCATCTGTGGCTTTTCTATACAGAGGGATCCCATGCCTGCTGAGCACCTGTTCGTTCTGTGACAGGTCCTGTCTTTAGGGAAACCAACTGAGACTGGAAGAGGGGACATGGCTTTCTGGAAGTGGCAGGGGAGTAAACTCCAGGTGCTGAGCCCAAGTTCAGAAAAATGTAAGAATTACAAATTCTTATAATACAAATATCGTCCATTTTACCATTCGAGCAGACTTAACATTGCAGATTGGCTGGTTCCTGTTCCCGCCCTCACTCCCTTGCCATATGTAGTACAGATGGAACCCAGAGCCTTATGCATGCTAGGCCAGTCTCTACCCCAAGCCACACCCTAGTACTCTCTTTAAGATGGCCATTGGCCTCACCCACTGTTGACTGTGGCCTCAGCCATCAGTGCCAATTCAGAAACCAAGAGCCACACTCCCACACCAGCCTGTCACTTCTGGCTGCCCAACCCCTGCCTTCTCGCACAAGCTACATGACCACATCACTTGTCAGCAAGCTCTTTATTTACTTCCTGTTCCCCAGCCATGTCCTTGGTGTGTGGTGGGGGAAGTTGGGACATGTGGCAATCATGCACTTTGGAGGTCTCTGCCAAGACCCCTAGTGCAGAGGCTCTGGAGCCCGATGGTTCCCTTCCCAACTCGGAGCACAGAAATTCTAGGTGTGTTTCCCTCCATCATGGACTGACTTGATCAAATTACCTTCTCAAGGTGTCTGGTTTGCATTTGGACCTAACACTGGACCTGGACCAGTGTCACATAAGGCAATCTGTCCATTCTGTCCTGCTCTGGACAATGCCCATGGGCCACTACTCCCAGAGTATCCTGAGAAAGGCTGGCTGACTACACTCTCACATCGGCTGGACCTGTGGCCAGATGGGCCTCTGGCTATTCTTTACTTTGGGAAGAGAACTGTGTGTTTTCTCTGAAGACCAAAGACCAATGGCATGCCTGTGGATTCTGAAGCTCTCTTCAGTGTCCTCACACCAATGGGCTTGAGTCATTGTTTTGACATGGGGTGACTCTCTGATGTCTCTGAGTCTAGCCTCTGAGCATTTACATACAGACAAATAAATTTCAACTCTTAGGCAACAGATTCCAAAGCACAATGGACCACCTTGTCATGTGGTTGGTGGCAGAGGTTCAGCTCAGCACGGTTCCTGCCAATCTGTGAACTCAAAACCACAGCAGCAGCATGTGTCAGGCCTGGCTTGGCAGTAGGCTTCGGTAGGCAGTGAGCTAAGCCATGTCCCTGTTCTGTGCTGACCTGGGAGCACTCACTGGTAGTCAGCTCTGTCGGAAGCTGTGGTTAAAGCAAAGGCCCTGGTTAAGCCACCAGGACTCTGACAGACTTTGGGTGACAGCATTAATGACAGATTCCCTGGGCCCTGACCTATGCACCACCCTGATGGTATTTGGTAAGCTCCCAATGAAGCCAACCAGGTGTTCAGGCTGTGTCTTGCTCTGGGACAGGAAAGGTCCTTGGAACCCCCGCATCAAAGGCCAAGTTGTCGGACCCAATGGCTTGTGGTCTGTGGTGTTTTGTTTGTCTCTCTTGAGATAGCTACATAGTTTGAGATGATTACATTCAGACAAATGGCCATTTGGTTACTCTATTCCAGAACACGGAAGAGACACCAGGTAGCAAAGTCACAGACTTGAGGGGCACAGAGTCTCTTGTCACAGCCAAAGGGACACACTAGTAGGCCAGAAGTCCCAGCAAATAACTGGAAGGGGAAAGAAACCTAGGATGTTCCCAGTAACCAAAGGAAAGAGGGCCCCACAGTGACAGGAAGCCACCTGAGTTTCCAGTGTGGATCAGGGCAGGGACTGGGCTGTCCCACAGTTCACCTGGGCCTCATTCAGCCTGGCTCCAGCCCAGGCAACATCCTCATCGTCCTGGAGCAAAGATGAAATCCAGGGCCTGCCGTTCGGCAGCTGCCACGTTGGGGTGCCAGAGATCCACCATGAAGACCACCCGTGGGCCATCCTCAGCGGAACCTGGGGAGGAGGAACACAAAGGGGTCAGGTTAGCCCTGGCACACTCAATGTGGCCTGAGCTGAGGTCCAGTGGGCATGGGAAGACCTTCCTTCCCAGATGGGGAATGTTCGTGAGGTCTCTCCCATGCCTGAGACAAAGGCAGATGAAGGGAAAAAGAGTAGGGGAACCAGGCAGGGCTGTGGGACTGTCACGGTGGACACAGTCTGCCTATTGTGGTCCCCGCCCACAGAACGTCCGACCCTGAGAGAGAACCTGAATATGACAACAGCCTTTAGGTGGTGACGGTTGGGTGAAGTTGGCTCGGCACCTGTAATAACAGCTACCCATGTGGGGAGACTATCTGAGAAGGTGAAGTGGGGGCGGGCTTAGGAATTCCTGGTCAGTTTTGTCTGGTACCCAAAAACTATTCTTTAAGAATGTCTAATAACCATAAAGCAAGCAGGCAGGCAAGCTCTGGGAGAGGCAGTGCCCACCTTCGTGGAATGCAGTGTGCAGGAAGGAGTCGTCGAAGAGCAGGCAGCGACCTTCTGCCCAGCACTGGGGCTCACCTCCCACCACCAGCTCACAGCCACTGGGAGTCTTCAGACCTTAGAGAAAAACACAGGACTGAAAGTGAAGGCAGCCAGGGTCCAAGGCTGTAGATGGTGGAGCTGGGCTGCTCCAGGGAACGTTCAAAAGCTTCTGGTCTTTCACACACTCCCCCGGAATCCACACTGTGGACTGTCTGTGACCCGTAATTCAGAGACCGAGACCACCCTGAGGTGTTAGGGATCTCTGAGGATTAGTTCATGGATGGGAACTTATAAAACGGGCCTTTCTACCACATGAGGTCACAGCAAAAGGGTGCCATGCCCACTGTGCTGGCAAGTCTTATGTTCGCTTGGCACACAAAGTAGAGTCATCTGAAAGGAGGGAGCCTCCATAAGATCTGACTGTAAGACATTTTCTTAATTAGTGATTGATGGGGTAGGGCTCAGCCCACTGTGGGTGGTGCCACCCCTGGGCTGGTAGTCCTGGGTTCTATAAGAAAGTAGGCTGAGCAAGCTAGGAGGAGCAAGCCAGTAAGCAGCACCCCTCCATGCTTCTGCATCAGCTCCTGCCTCCAGGTTCCTGCCCTGTTTGAGTTCCTGTCCTGACTTCCCTCAATGATGGATTATGATGTGGAAGTGTAAGCCAAATAAACCCTTTCCTCCTCAACTTGCTTTTGGTCATGGTGTTTCATCACAGCAAATAGGAACCCTGACTAAGACACCCAGCTGGCAGTCAGAGCAGCCTCGGCCTCACAGAGATCCACCTTGGACCTCCAGCCTCAGGACCATGAGGAGTATACCTCTGGGCTGTTGTTTCATTTGTTCAGACAGGGTCTCACTGTATTGTTCGGGCTGGCCTTGAACTCAAAATTCTCCTACCTCAGCCTCCTAAGTACAGGCACCACCACCCAGCTGTTTCTGTTCTCTTTTAATTTAAAACTTTGTATTATTATTATTGTGTGGGGTATGCCTGACACTGCCATGTAGTGGTTAGAGGACAACTTTCAGGCGGTGGCTCTGTCCTTCCACTGTGGGTCCCTGGAATCAAACTCAGGTCACCAGGCTTGTAAGGCAAGTGCCTTCAACCACTCCCAATGAGCCAAATCTCTAGCCATTTTCTGTTGTTCAAAAGCCACCCAGCATGTGGAATTGTCCTAATAGCCCAACTGTCAGTCTTTCTAGGGACAGGAGACTGGTGAGACAGTGCTGGCTACCACCCAGGTCCCCAGCAAAACTACTCCTTTGCCCACTTCATCTGGTCTGGGTCCCAGACTCTTTTACTTATGTTAGTAGCTCGATGTCCTCATGACCTCAAGAATTCCTGATGTCTAGTCCTGGAACCATGGGAATCCAGGGCTGCTGGATCCAAACCAGCTTCATTTATGTACATCCAGCCTACAGCAGGACCCCTTCAACAGACCATCTCCTGCGGCATCCAGGGATATCAAGAACCCATTCATTCCTGCAAGTTACTAGCTGCTCTGAGAAGAGAGTGATTACCAGGACAAGGTGTGCACATTCTACACACATGCCTGCACCCACAATGTATACGGTACGCACAGATCAGACATTAACACGGGAATCCAAACCTACACGTCCTTCTCCCAGCCTGCCTACTCAGCACCCTTGGATCCCTACCACATCAATCTCTGAGGCCTTCCCCTACTCTGCATGCTGAAGCGTTTGAACAGCACAGTAGGTAGTAGGTAGCCAGTATGCACTTCTGTGGTTTGGCACTTTCCCAGCATGCATGAGACTGGGGTTCATCCAGCACCGTGTAAATCAAAAGCTCTCACAAAGCAAGACTTTTCAAAAGAAAATCTTCACTCTCATTGCCAACAGCCTGAGCCCCAGCCTGGCCCAGCCTGGCCCAAGTCTGCCATCTGCTCTCCTCTGGTCTACCCTACCTTCCAGCTCTGTTTGCAGCCCAGCTCCCTTCATGGACTCTTGCCAGAGGTTTATTAACCAAAGCCATCGTGTGGATCAAAGCCTACCTGGTAATAGTGATGGCCTCTGCCTGCCAAGAACTTCAAATGCACAAACTACTTCTTCCTTTTCCTCAAATAGCCCTGAAGGCAGAGTTGAGCACCCCCCACACCCCATTTCAAAGCGGAAGCTTGGCTTCCAGGGCCTGACAATGGGGGTTAAGTGAGGAACTCATTCCAGGTCCTGCTGAGCCACCAGAGCCCTGAGGTTCACTGTCTCCTGGGGAAGAGGCCGTGCCTTTATAGAGCATTGTGTAGTCATGAGAGCCACTGCCATGCTCAGGAGAGACTGCCAGGCACTATGCCAAATGGCCACTTAGTGTGTTGTGTCCCCAGCCTTCTCCACAGCACTGGTGCTGTGTGTCCACTTTGCAGAGAGGCAATGAGGTCTATGGAGCTGCCTGTGGATCCAGACTCCGGCTTCAAGCTTCTGCCCTGTCCCGCCAGCCCTCTGATGATGTTCCTTCCTTCTTCTTCTCAGCGCAGACATCTTCAGTCCAAACCATACCTTACCCAAAACCCTCACCCAGAGAGCAGAGGGAACAGAGCTGCTGGGGAGAGAGGGGGTGGGGGGCGACTAGCAACTGGCACAGGCTCCCTGCAAAACACACTAGCAAACCCCACCACACCCCGCTCAGGACACTCATCCTACGCTTCTCCCACCTCCTGCAGCCAGCCAGCACCACCTCTTAACAGCTGCCACCTAGCACAGCACGCTCTAGCAGGTTCACCAACAAGGCCATGGCCTCTGTCGCCAGCCTCTGTCACCATCCACCAGGAAGAAGGTAGTTCGCTGTTGTGAAGTCTGTCTCTACACCTAGCTCTGGTGACTGCTCTGAGACACACCTCATCTGATCGGATCGCCGAGGGAGAACTGCTGCCTCACTTTCTATGGAAGCTCAGAGGAGGGAAGCAACCTACTCAAGGCAGCACAACTACGGTTGGACTAGATAAAAAAGGCAATTAACTTGACACTCAATTTGCACACTGCACACACACACACACACACACAGTGCACAAGATTCCTAGACTTTGAATAAAGTGACCAGAACACTGGCCACCATTGATGTGACTCAGAATGTTTAAACATCTCTCACAGCCTCCCGGGTACCATCAGGGACCTCTGTCATCGCCAGAACCCCAGGGGTTCCGTGTCAGCCACCTCAGAAGCACAGCAGCCACCAGCCATACCTGGATATGCAAATGTAAGTGAAAACTTGAGGTCAGCTGTCCACTAACCACAGCCTGAGCCCTCAACAGCCACATGTGGCCAGGTGCTCACACAATGGACAGGAAAGATGGAGGACACTGTCACTACCCTCTCTTCCAAAGTTCTTTCAAAGAGAGCTTTTCCTGCCAGATGCTAGATTTAGGTTAGTGTGTGGCCTGGTGGTAGAGAGCATGTGTGAGTGCCCGGGTTCCATCTCTGGCACCACAGGAGAATGAATCAGAGTTTGAGAGAATAAAAAGAAAAGAGGTTTACATCCTGCCATCACAGTTGTTTATAGGCCCACCACCAGGGAAAACTTTCTGAGGCTGGGGATATGGCTCAAGTTTTGTAAAGTGCTTGTGGACAACCATGAGGACTTGAGTTGGAACTTAGCATGTGAATTGGCTAGGCACTGAGGCACACACGTGTAGTCACAAGGCTGGGAAATCAGAGACAGGGAGACAGACCTCCCCCCCCCCAGGGGCTTGAGGCCAGCTAGCCTAACCTAGCCAGTGAGCCCCAGGTCCCAGAGAGATCCTTTAAAAACAAGGTAGATAGATCCTGAGAAACAAGACTCAATGCTGACCTCCAACCTGTCTCCAACACACATGCAGACAGGTACACACATATAGTTCAGGCTAGCCCTTCAAGTCTCAACCCTCCTGCCTCAGCCTCTTGAGTGTTTGGACTGCTGGTGTGTGCCACTGCACCCAGCTGAATGCTGTCTGTATTTGATCAAAGCACTCAAGAGGTAAAGGCACCTTGTTACATGAGGCTCTCATAACGTGCATGCTGGGGCTCTGCCGCCTCCACGTACCTAGGTGGCACCGGATGCGGATGTTGGTGGGTCCGTAGTGCTCCGTGATCACAGTCCCAGGGCTCAGCACCGAGATGCAGGCATTCCCGAAAACATTGTTTCCAATACAGGTCCGGAGGCTGCCGAGCAAGCGGTACGTCCGTGGGCACTTCCTGCAGTTCCTGGGGACACAAACTCCCTGGTTGACAAAGTCAAAGGTGAACCACTCCCCACTGGGGGTGCTATTCACTTTCCACCCCTGCGGGAGGCTGCAGTTAGAGAAGGCCTTGTAGAGTGTCTCGAACTCGCAGAGGATGGCCTGGAAGTTCCTCTCCAACAGCTCCACATCGTGTTTCTGTGCGTCCCGGGAGAAGTAGGGCGTAGTGGGGAGGTCAGGCAGGAAGAAGACCTCGGGTTTCTGGATGGAGGGCTGGCTGCTGAGGTAGCGGCCCTGTTCCCGGATGGCCTTGTGGATGCGGCCCATGCCGGACCATGAGTACCGCTTGGCGTATTCCTGCAAGTTGTGGTAAAGCTTCTGATTGAGGCCATCGTGGTGCATACAGCGCACACACTCAGGTGACTGGCAGTACATGGACCCATTCTGTAGCACGCTGGCATCCACTCCTTGCAGGAGGGAGTTGACAGACACATGGGGTCGAGGCTGCTCTCGGCCCACATGGTAACAGTACCACACAAACATGACCAGCAGGCAGGCCACAGTGACAACGGCTGTGCTGTCACAGTCCCTCACAGACTGGATGCCAGTGGCAATGCAGTCCCTCAGGCCATCCAGAGACCAGCTCCAGGCCACCAGCCACTCCAGCCACATCTTGAGGGACTCAGTACTTGGAGTGAAGGTGTCTCAGATGACCAGTCCTTGGGGGGTGGCCAGGGCACCCACAGCATGCAGGTTAGCAGGTGGGAGGAGCTGTTGGAGCACAGGGAGGCATGGCTGCCACTGTCCCTCAGTTCCTTCCAAGGGCGCCATTGATGGACAGTTAGGCCTGTTGATGGTGCCCACCAGTAAAAATCACTGATGTTGGGTGGAGGGGGCTGCCGTATATCCTATTAGCTAATGTAGTCAGTCACTGTGAAAGGGTTTTCATGATGTCCAGACCTGGGATAGAAACCAGAGGAGGAAAAAAAAAAAAAAAAAAAAAAAAGAAACCACCAAAAAATGCAAACAGTGGGGAAAAAAGAAATATATAAAAAAAGGGGGGGCGGGGGGGGGAGGGCTGTCACAATGGCATGTTCTCCCTTCTTTTCTCAAACATGTCATAAATCAGGCTGATATCCAGGAAGTGGGTGTCCTGGAGTGGTGTCTGTGGCAGATACACCTCTTTCTGTGCTCAGCTGGGAGGTGACCTCGCTCACAGGGAAAGCAGAGACCTTCCAAGTCTCTGCCTCAGTTTCCCACCTCTGACAGCAGTGGTACTGCTTTGCCAACTTTCCTACTTTAGGGAGATGGAGCCCAAACTTCTGTAAAACAGAACACAAGGCCAACTGTGCCTCCCAAGTCTCTAGAACCCAGAGTGTCCCCTGGTTTCTCGGAAACACTCTGTCTGCCCCTCCTTTTCCAAGGTGGTGTGAATAGCCAGGTCTGTGTTCTCTGGAAAGCCCTCCAGCACCTGGAGGAACACAGCTGGGAGCATTTCAGGGCTCCTCCTCTGCCCCTTGGGGAGAATGGGGGACAATGACAGCAAAACTGTGTCTCTTGCTGCCTGGACTGGCTAGGCCTGGGAAGTCTGCAGCATAGCAGAGAAGTTACACGTGCAAACTAGACATGGACCTGACTGGGTGTGGACACCAGTCATTTGCAGGGCATTTTCCTCTCCAAGCCTCAGTGTCTTCATCTATCCACTAGCTGTGGATAACGTCACAGTAAGCCCTTCATGTGAGATTGATGGGCAAACCAAACATGGAGCATGTCCCAAGGCTCCCACCCCAAGCAGAAGGCAAAGGCTGAAACACCCCGACTCAGGGTGATGTCCACTCCTGGACTCAAGGAAAACCTGTGTTGCTCATTCACCACCTACTGACATCATCCTGGTGTCGGCTGAATAAAGGAATTGCTTGACTATAATGTTTAGGAAGTAAAAAACACACACGCTGAATATTCATGGGGATCCATGCTTCTAGGAAAAGTACAGGGATGGGGAGATGAGAAGCCAGTTTCTTCTCAAGATGCAGGGCCCGGGTGTTAAGCACCTTCACCGGCCCTTCCTCCATGGGTGATACCATCACTCCGCTGTTTCCACTTTAGGAAAAGGGAAAAAGCCCCAGAAAGGTGTCTTCTTTGCACTTGCTCTTCAAGATAGCCCAGGGTTCCCGAAATTCTGTGTGAGACACTCACCGGGGTGAGGAAACACGTTTCCTCCCCAAACTGCAACTCTTAAAACTGCCTTCGGCAGCCAGGTTTCCTCGGATGCCCTGAGACTGAGTTGGTGGCAGTACCTGGCCGGCGAAACTGTTTCCACCAGCCTGCTCATGACAAAATGCACACACACAACACACACACACACACACACACACACACACACACACACACTCACACACGCACGCATACCCGGGGTTGGTGGCTAAGAGAGCTCTCCATGGGCCACCAGTCCTTCCCCTCCTCAAAACACCTTCATTCTGGATAGAGCAGACAAGAGCCCTCCCTAAGGCAGAACAGTAAAAGACTCAGCAAGGAGAGACCCTAACCTCTTCACGAGATCAAATCCAGTGTCAAGAGAGTGAGCTGGGAACTACCAGTCACTTAGAGCCCCAAGAGGCTGGCTGCCCCCACATCCAGGGAGGGATGTGCAAGCCCAGAGCTGACCTGTGACAAGAAAACAACTCTGGTTTTGGTAGAGTGAGTGGCAGCAGGAGGGATGGATGGATGCACACTTCTGGCTCTCTCTCCACACACACACACCAACACCCACCACACACACACACACACACACACACACACACACACACACACGTTCCCATCAGGGATGGGCACCATGCAGTCCTGCACCTCAGATCTTAAAGATCAGCGGGCTCTGGGGAATAAAGACCAAATTCAAGTCCAATCAAAGATAACTTCTAACACGAGGAATGCTGGGGGAGACGGTCTCCATTATTTGACCTAGTTAACCCGGATCAGATGACCAGCTCAGGAGGCTCTCTGATACTCAAGAGCCCGGGTCACCCTGAGGTGAAGCCAGGAGACCCCTCAAGCCCCCCTGCAAGGCACAACACAGCATACGAAAAGATAGGGGTGGCTGTGTGATGCTTGCTGTCTTCTCTACCCCGAAACCTGAGAGCAGTCCTGAGACAAGCCCTCCCCTCTAGACACCTTCCAACCTCACAGTCTCCCCCCAGTGTCACAGGCCCTGGAAAGAGTACGATAGGAGCGAGGTCAGAAAAGATGCGTTAACGCAGGTGGTGAAGCCAGTAGTCAGAGGATGAGATGCTGAGGTGAGGGCCAGCTGGAAAAGTGGCAAGGAGGTTCGGGGGCGCGTGACAATTCATGGGACAGGGCGGTGGGTGATGTTGAGGAGGAATGGGGGACCAGGAGAAAAGGCGATAGAGGAGGAGAAAGAGAGGAGGAGGTGGTGAAGAGGAGGCGGGGGTGATAA